AGGAGCCAGCGGAGGCGGGGCGGGAGAGGGGCCGCCTCACCTTGCCCGAGGGGCGCGGCGGCCCGGCACCCTTCCGGCCTGCCTCCCGTGCTCTCTCTTCGCAGCGCGTTTTCTCTCCAACAACTTGGAATGTTTTTGTTAGTGACGGGGAAGCGTGTCTTTCCTGGGTTTCCGGCACAATTGTAGTATTACGAGTCCTGGAGGTGGATTGCCTAGGTTCAGATCTTCATCCACCACTTACTGGTTCCGGGACCTCTCCAAGTCATTTAACCCCTGTGTGTCAGCTGTAAAATGGAAGAAATAATAGTAACCTGTTTCATAAAGTGGTACGTGGTTGTGAGGATGAAGTGGGTTAGTATCTCTCAAGTGCAGAGAACCGAGTGTGATGGACATAAAAGTATGTAAGTGCTGGTCATTTTTTTGAGCCTTGTATCTAAAAGGAAAGTTATGTCCCTTTCTTACTACCCATCCCTTCTCCTCCGAAAATTATTGCCCAAAAGTACGAAAAAAAGGTTTTTTTCCTTTTTGAGAATATGGACTTTTGTTTGCATAACCTGTTTTTAAAAAACATTTCTAAACAGTCTAGTTGCACATTCTACGTTAGAGAAAAGACAGATGTTAGGGTAATGCAGAAGTTGAAAACTGAAAAGTTTTGTTCAGGAAACCCCGTGAGAAAAATAGCCAGAACTTATTTGTGCTGAGAAGAGTTAACATAGTAGGCCTGAGACAGCTCTCCTTAGAAAGGCCTGCTTGCAAGTTTAGCCCATGCTTGGCGTCTGCGAACAGTATGATTTATGCAGGTTACCAGCCAGCCCGCATAAAAATCCTGCACCTGTGAGTCTGTAATAGGCATCCCTGGGCAAAAACATTGTATAGACATTGCTGGATTTTACTTACTGCCTGCAGAGTGTGCTATGTTTGACATCTCCTGGGAGAGAGAGAACCTTAGGGAACTGCAGGATTTCTCTAGACTTCACTTGTGTCTTTTCCGTTATGATCAGGCTGTATGCCCTGTACTACATTGATGTAATAAATACTGGCCATGAATACAAATATATCCTGGGCCTTGTGAGTTTGTCTAGTGAATCTACAAATGTGAGGGTGGTCTTGGAACTCCCCAGACACAATATTGATGATAGGAAGTATTTGAAACACTAATAATTGGACTTTAATTTTTATCTCTTTTTGCCTGAAAGGGGAATTGAAAAAGAAAGCTATACAGATAAGTGATTGCTAAATAGTTATTTACTGCCCAAAATGAGTCTGTATGTTTAGACATACTACATGTGTCAGAAAAATCACTGGAAATTTACCCTACACTGCCAAGTTAAGCTTGAGTCTGTTTTTGAAAAAAGCATAGGTCTTTTACAGATTCAAATACCAAATTCCTTTAGTTATTCTGCCAGCATTCGTTATGTGTTAATGCTCATCTTTATGAAGAGTACCTGTGTAAGGAGGGTAAAAATATGACCAATTTCTCATGGGCCATTTTTCTTGGATTCTGTTGTGTCTATCTCTTTTCAGGACATCAAATTTAAATAGTTGAAGTAAATTTCTAAGTTTTGGGGTGGAAAGATCAGATTTGCCATCTGATTATGTCTCTTTTTTCTCAGTAAAGTAGAAGAATAAATTATATTGGTGGAGTAGGGAAATGAAGGAGTTGGGGGTTTGGGAGAGTGAAAAAGATTTCAAATGGCTGTGTGAGGAGTATGTAAGTTAGTCAGAGGTGTAGTAGGTAAGGGGATGTCTTGATCCATTTGAGATTGCGATGATAAATTTAGTAGACCCAGTCTCGTTTCTTAAAAGACTTTCTCCAGCCTTTTTGGATGCAGACATGGGGAAAGCAGTTAATTGGGTTCCTCTAGGATTGAGGTCCTATTCAGGGGGTGATGTGGTAGTCATTAAACCTGGGCACACATATTCTGTTCTTTCTGAGTACATGATAAGGTCGTACTCTCTGAACACGCACCCCCATGCCCACCCCATCCCCCTTTCTACTTGAAGTTAAATGTGGCCATATGACTTGCTTTGGCCAGGTAAAGTATAAGCAGACGTGTGTCATTTGCAAGTGAAACTTTAAGAACCAGCAGTGGATTTGCCACTTCCCTTCCCCCCTTCCCTGCTATTGTGATCATGGAAGCACTTGTTGAGATGCAGCCCCCGGTCAGCCTGGGCACTAGGAGTGGCTGATCAAACAAGCTAGAAGAACTCGAAGTTGTGATCAGAGAATGGAATTCTTGAATTAGTGATTTTGCAAGGGGGAACTGTAGGGGTAAGTGGGTGAGACAGTCTGGAGGGACGAGGCAGTCAGAAATGAAGTGGGCAGGGGACTCGGAGGTCTTGTGCACCTCTCTAACCCTGAAGGCCTTCATTTATTGCAGCTTAGTTGAGTAGAGATGACCCTTAGACTTAAATGGCTCTTAAGATGATAAACTCAAAAGCGTCCTTATGTGGAACATGGTATGACTGAATCAGGATTCAGAATTGTTACTGAGTTTAAAAATTCTTCAATCTTGATCAAAAAGCAAATAAATAACCACAAAAATTACAGTGAAGCTTAGCCGTGAAGAGCGTGATATCAGGTAGGATTTAGGATGTAGTGGTGTAAAAAGATGTGTAATTTTTATCTAAAATCTTTAGAATTAACTCTGAATTTTCAAGATATATAAGAGATTTCTTAAACATATATTTAGAGGTAAATAACACCATGAATTGAGAGATAAATTCGGTGTGGGACATTATACAGCTCTGCTACTGAGAGTGTGTGTGGTCTGTGGACCCCAGCAGTGGCTTCCTGTTGGGAACTTGTTATACAGGCAGACTCTCAGGTCCTGTGCTAGACTTGAATCAAAATCCACATTTTAACAAGATCTCCAAGTTGACTCCTGTGCACTGTCCTGACCTCTCAAAAAAAGCCAGTGTCTTAGGAAAGTAAAGACACTGTTAACTCTCCATTTGTTATGGGAAGAACAGTTGTAGATTAAAAGATACTTAAGAGACATGACCAATACAAAGTGTAAACCTTGATTGAATCCTTATTCAAAAAACCAGTATGTTGTGCTGAACACTGGAATTTGACACAACATTGTAAAATGATTATAAATCAATAAAAAATGTTAAAAAAAAAACCCACCAGTATAGAAGACACTTTGGGTCAGCTGAAGAAATTGGAATATGATAGGATATGAGATGATATTAGGGAATTACCGTTATTTTTCTTAGAAGTGATAATGATATGATTATATAGAAGAATGTCCTTAAGGGATACATGTTCTCTGCAACTTACTTTTAAAAACAGTTAAGGAAACAAAAACAAACAAACAAAAACTCATATACATGTATCTATATATGTCTATATACACATTGATATTTAAATAAAACAGATATGGTAAAAGGTTCTAGATATGGACCCTAGATAGTATGTGAGTGTTCATTATTCTGTTCTTTTCACTTTTGTGGAAGTTTAAAAATGTTCATAATAAAAAAGTGGGGGAAAAACACAAAAAATGCAATAGTTTAAAAAGATAGAAATGTATTTGTCTCTCAGTAGTCCAGTGCTGGGTCCTGCAGTGCAGGTAGGGTGGCTCTACTGTGCTTGGCACTTGGCTTCCATCCCTGGTCCTTTGCAGCATCTCCTAGCCGGTGAAATGGGAGAAAGGGCAAAGGGAGCATGTGAACCAGAAGTGGCGTAAACTTTCGTTTTTTTCATGTACCTGATATCACATGTCTAAGGGAATGGTTGGTACAAGTCATATGTCATGTGCCATTTGTGTATTGGTTTAATAAAGACTTCTTTGATTTTCACTGATGTTCCCCTCTTCCTGTGTTAATCAGTTAAAATTGAAGCCACTTCAGAATGAATGTATGTATATTCATGTATGACTGAAAATTTGTGCTCTATACCGGAAATTGACACAACATTGTAAACTGACTATAACTCAATAAAAAAAAATTGAAGCCTCTTCAGTTTTATTTATTTTTACTTATTTATTTGTTTTTGCCTCTTCAATTTTAATACACATTAAGTAAAATACGTAAAATTTTACTTTTGAGGATTAACGTGTAATTTCCCCCTCCTTTTCAGTATATAACAGATGCGGGTGAAGGAGCCATCCGGAGCTTTACCTGAGAAAGCCAAAAGAAGTAAAAGGCCTCCTGTACCTCATGATGAAGACTCTTCAGATGACATTGCTGGTAAATTGTGATGTCTGGCATCCTGAATAGTGTTGCAGAAAAGAAATAATAATACCTGTTTTAAATTAGTAAACCCTTTGCTCTTGATTTTTACCATTTTTCTGCGTGAACTTTAAAATCAGCTTGTCTAGTTCCAAAAAATCCTGTTGGCATTTTCATTGACATTTTGTTTATTTTACAAAGCAACTTCGAATTGGCATCTTTTCTTATTATTTGTTTCTCACGGCTGTTAAAAGCAAGCCCTCAAGCCAGCGAGGTTGTGGCAGATGACACTGGGGAGCTGCTGGCTTCCTGGCTTGCTTTTCTCTTTAGCCTTATGCCTTGGGTTTTGGCTTCTGCGGATTTTCCTTACTTACCAGTTCAGTACTCCATTTAGAAAAATGTTTTTAATATATTATTTCCAGTTTTAAGTGTTTTTAACTTGGATAGTGTTTCAGGATAGTTAGATTGCTGTATTGAAGGAAGTCTGAATTATATCATTAAATATTTGATCTATTCTGTCAATATGGTTTTCTTCAGGGATTCTGAGTATTCTCATGCTAACTCTCTTTTACCATCTTCCATAGTTATCATTTTTCCTCAAATCCTCTAAAACTATTTCCTTTTCCTTTTGCTTGCTATTTTTATTTTTATTTTTTACTGTGTTTTCCACAGTGTCTCTTTCGCCTTATGTTCTTTTTAGTTTTGCCTTCATTTTTGTGGTGTTTTGTTTTTGTTTTTGGTTTTGGTTTTTTTAACTTCCTCTTCTTTCCTGAACTCTGCTTGTCACTTCCTGTTGTCTTGCCATCTCAGCCAGAAGTGTTTGCTTCTGTTTTGTGTTTTTATTTCATGGCTGTGATTGCTCTGCCATTTTTCCTTTTCCTTTCTTCCTCTTTCTTACATTCTCTTAGCACAGAATTTGTCCTTTGACTACCCGTTCTTCAATGTGGGGCTGCTTTTCTTGGGCCAGTTCATTTTGGAACATCTGTGTAAGAAGGAGGGCTTACACCTAACTGGACTTTCAAGTTTGAGCTCATTTAGCTTTTACTGCTCTCCAACCAACAGGATTATGCAGCCCTGGGTTTTTTTTCAGAATCCAAGTGATCTTTTCTTTCCAGCTGCCAGAGAGATAAGGCTGTTCCCTGCAGTTATGGCTTGCTTTTCAGTTTTCACTTCGTGTATGAGAAATCCCCTCCTTTTGCTTCTTCTCAAAACAAAAGTGGATATAGGGGAGCTCCTGCCACTGTGTGGCAGCTCTGAGGTTAGGTTTTGTTCTATGGCTGCGAAGCATACGTTGTTCTTTGTGAAATCTCCTGAGGGTTCTCTCTGCTTCCTTCTGTACGTACGTACGTGCTCCTGTTTGATCTCTGCTGCTTTGAGGTGGGAGGCTTTCCGCCTAATTTGTGACTTGGGGCTTCAGCTGTCTCCTGGTTTCTCTGAAAATGAACTTTGTGTTTTTGTATCCTGTTCTTTTTGCCCTTGGATAGTTTTGGGGAGGAGAAAGCAGAAGTGTTAGCTTTATACCACCATTTGCAAACTGGAAGACCTCCTTGTGAAGTTTTTATTAATATTTAAAGTAAAAAATATGGAGATTTTGATTATCATTTTTGATTTGTTAATGTGAAATAACTACAGACTTTAATACATTTTAATATTTTTATTCAGGAAGCTCTAGAGGACCTATTTGTCAGATGAAATTTAGACAATTATATGATTAAACAAATTGCAGAAAACTGAGGAAATTTACTTATTAAGTAGAGGGAAATTCTTTTACATTTCTCCCCCACAAAAGATAGTGAATACTATTCAAACACTGGTTAGCTTTTATAGGAGAACTTCAGACTTTTACATTTACTTATACTTATAAAAAGTATATTATGGTTCAGACATTTAAAATCTAATAGAGTTAATTTAGGGGCCTGAAATTTTTTGATCTTAAATTCACTTATCTCTGAATTCATAAACAATTTCAGTTTTATTACGTCTGAATTGTAGAGTCAGAAAATGATTAAGTTGTACCCCTGGCCATATGCCACACCAGAGATGATATAAACGGTGTGTAGAATGATTTTTTTTTTCCCTTAGAATTTTAAAATTTAAAAACTCAAAGCAATGACATTTGGTGAACCATCTCTAGGTCCTGTACTTGTGTGGCTATTTTTATCAGTCTTTCCCTGAACAACCCTCTCTTTTAATGGCTTTTCAAACACAGGACTTCAGAATTGTACCTTTTATGTCTATTCTTATAACTTACTTCTTGGGGTAAAATTAGAAGTTTCAATCTATCAAGGGGGGAGGGTATAGCTCAAGTGGTAAAGCACATGCTTAGCACGCAAGAGGTCCCGGGTTCAATGCCCAGTACCTCCTCTAAGAATAAGTAAATAAACCTAATTACCTCCCCCAACCAAAAAAAAAAAAATATATATATATATATAATATATAAATATATATATAAAAGAAGTTTTAATCTGTCAGATTTACATATTTTTGTTGAAATTATATTTTATTAAATATTTTGTCAGGAATCACATTCTTTGTCTTTAGAATGAAATGGCAATAACGCTTAGTCTCTAGTTAACCGGTAGGCGAAGAGAAATGCTTTGCATTCTGGAAGGGAAGTGGAGAACGTTCAAATGTACATACTCCTTCTGTTTCCCTCTTCAAGGTATTGTCTCTGCCTTTGTTGTTTGATTTTGGCAGGCAGTTGTAGGTTTGGAGTTTGGGATATTTGAGGAGGAGAAATTGAAGTGTTCAGGGAGAAATGGAAGTATTATTAAGCCCTTGGGAGAAGAATATGGTTATTTGAAGAATTAAAAACATATTTGCTCTTTGGCCATTTGTCTCTACACATGCACACAGTGGGACTCTGTTATAAAGGATAATTAAGGACCTGCAAAATCACTTGTTATTTGGGGATATTCATTAAGGAGAATTCTGAGAATTCTTGTTCCTGCAAATTATGCCATTGTTTATTTCTCTCTTTTTTTCTTCCAACAGTGGTGAAAATAGTATCTTAGCAGAAATAGTCCATGTGAAAAGATTTGACTTGTGTATCTCAGTGAAAAGAAAATACATTCAAAATGATTGACATATAGTAGCTGCTCAATAAATAATCTCTTTATTTATTAAACTTGTAATTTTTGAACTAATTTTAGATTCATAGGAAGGTACAAAGACATATACAAGGACATCCTGTTTACTCTTCATCCAGCCTCTCCTGATTTAACATTTTGTATTTCTAGAGCACAATGTCAAAACCAGGAAACCGACGTCAGTACAGTCCTCAGAGTTTATTCAGGTTTCACCGGATGTACATGCACTTGTGTGTGTGTGTGTGTGTGTGTGTGTGTGTGTGAGTGAGTTTGTGTGCATGCACACATGTGCAGTGTGATTCCACGTGTAGCTTTCTATAACCACCACAGTTAAGATACTTGACTACGCTGTCAGCACCCTGAGTGCTACTTCTTTGTAGCCAAATAAACCACTGCTCCCCATCTGTAGCCCCTGGCAACCGATAATCCAATCTGTTTTCCAAATCTGTAATATTTCACAAATGCTTTATAAATGAAATCATGCAGTTTGTATCCTTTTGAGTTATTTTGTTTTTTGAATCTCTGCTTTTTAGTGTTGTTGTTGATTTTTGCTTGCTGATGGTAGCGAAAATATGTTCCCATTTCGTTTTGTCTTAATCAGTAGGTTTCACTTGCCAGCATGTAAGTCATGCTATCAGTGTGAATCATGTGAAAAGAGCAATAGCTGAGAACCTGTGGTCAGTTTGCTCGGAATGTTTAAAAGACAGAAGATTCTCTGATGGACAGCCAGTTCTTCCTTCTGATGTTTGGTTGTGCCTCAAGTGTGGTTTTCAGGTGAGAAAAGTGTCTTTTATGTGTAAGTTTGTCTTAAATGTTTTCCTTAAATGCTTATGTGAGTTGGACTATTGGTAATGCTTAGAATTTAAGATAAATTTATTCTGTGTTTTGATAAAACTCTCCAAGGCTGAGCTTGGAAATGTTTAAGGTTAAGTAGAATGTATGTTATGTTCAGAAAATAATCACATGTGGTTTATAAATACTTCGAAAGGAAATCCAACACACTTGTACTTGTAGTAAGTCACATATATGGACCTGCCTTTACCTATTTGTATTTGCTTAGAAAATGGATCCAAGTTTTTTTTTTAATCTTTTTAGATTCTTTTTTTTTCTCTTTGAAAAGTGATTATTCTGCTTTTTTCTAGTTTTTTTTTAATTTGGCAAAATAATTTCTTAAGAGCTTTGAAGTTATTAATATCTTTAATAAAGGAATTTTTAAATAAAAATTTACCAGTATACGTTTTTAAAAATAAGAGACATCTTTATTATCTCACATAGAAGGCCCAGAGGTAGGGCCACTTCAGAGTCAGTTAGTTCAATGGAAAGAGCACTAAAAACAGATTTCTTCCATTTATCTGCTGTGCCATCATCGGTTTCATGGTTTCAGGATGGCCAAAGATGTTTCATTCATAATATATCACACAGCAATCCCCAAAGGCCAGAAGGAGGACAATAAGTACATCCTTTTCCTGTATTCTTTTTTAAAATATGTAAAACTTTTCCAGAAACATCCATTAGAGTGCCTCTCATGGCACATTGACCTGAATTAAATCTCATTTCTTTACTTACCTGGTGATGGAAATTACTGTGATTGTTGGTCTGAGTCTCACTAGTTTTCAGTGGAGTTGGGTGGAGGTGGGTACAGTATTAGGAAATGTGCGTACAGAGGAGGGACACTACTGGCCTGTGAGGCTGCTCAGTGTCCCATCATGCACAAGCTAGGGAGTGTGTACTTTTTAAATGGTCTGGAAATTAACTTGGCTCATGACTGTTTTCCTACATAACAAAAAGCAAGTTAGCCTCTTTGCAAGAAATGGAATTTAATGAGAATCTTTATTGCTTTCTGAAACTTTCCCCTCCTGCTTAAAAGTAAAAACAGAACACTTCTAGTAGAAATTTGAGTATGATTTAATACATTTTGATTAATTTGAAATAAACTTATATGAAAATCATACAAATAGTATTGTGTTAATCTTTAGGGATGTGGTAAAAACTCAGAGAGCCAGCATTCACTGAAGCACTTCAAGAGTTGGAGAGCAGAGCTTCACTGTATTATAATTAGTCTGAGCACATGGATTATATGGTAAGTTAGATTTTGTTAGTATTTATGTCCACTATAAAAATTATCTTTTTCTTTGAGTTTTATGAGGTAAAATATTTAGAGATATTATTACCAGCTTATGCTTTTTAGCTGAACACAACCTATGGAATAATTTTTTAAAAATAACATTATCCATCAATGTAAAATTTAAGTAAGAAAAAATTTAGTCATCCCTCTAGTTTTCTTTAATACTTTCTTCAATAAAGAAAAATTCTTGCCAGTTGATTTTTTTTTTGCAATGAACTTGCTAAATTAGAATTCCACAGTTCTAGAGGAGGAAGGTACTTCCAGCATTCAGGTGGTTTGGCAGTTCTCTGCAGGGAAAAGGAAAGCCTCAGTACATGTGGTTTGTACAGATTCCGCAGGTGATTCTGCTACTTACCCTTGGTTTGAAACCAAGTCCAGTTCTCTCATTTTATGTATAAGGACACTGAGTGTCATTTACCTTTTCGTGGTTACAAAGTAAAAATCCAGACGCTAAAACAAGTCTTTTGATTCTCTAGTTCCTTACCAGCATACCACACTGCTTGAGGGCTGTAAGTGGGCACTGTATTTAAAAGCTTTTCCTGTATTTTACAACAAAAATTTTCTAACTGGGATTTATAGACTCCTAGAGTTACTTGAATGAATTTTCCAGAGTTTTCAAGTTTTCTGTAAGACAAACATATTTTAACTTTTTGCTTCATTTCAAGGTTTCAAAATTAATATAAGGATATTTTGGTTTATAAGAAAGACCATCCTCATAATTTTTTTAAACGACTTTATTTTTTTTTAAGTTTTTTTCAGCTTTTTTGAGGGGATAATTAGGTTTATTTGTATATTTATGTATTTATGTATTTATTTAATGGAGGCACTGGGGATTGAACCCAGGACCTTGTGCATGCTAAGCATGCACTCTATCACTGAGCTGTACCCCCCTCAATCATCTTATAATTTAATTCAGCTACAGGTTCACATGCCTTCTGCATTTGTATTTTTGTTGCTGTTGGCCACAGGTACTAGAATTGGGGAGAATGAGGAAAGAATAGCTGGAACTTAATATGAAGTGAAGCATTGTAGCCAAAGGAGAGGGGGATGATGCCAGAATGTGACAGCTCACTAAGCATTTCTCTGTGGTCTGAATTAGGCAGTGGTCTCCAACGATGGGGTGCATAGGATCACTGGGAGAGCTTGTTAGAGTAGATTGCTGGGTCCCAGGCTTAGAGATTCTGGTTTAGCGGCTCTTGGGTAGGGCCTGAGAATTTGCATTTCTGACAGATTCCCAGGTGTTGCCATAGCTGCTGGTCTGGAGACCACAGTTTGAGGAGCACTGAAAAAGAGGTGGTGGGAGAATTTGAGTGGCACCTGGTAGAATAGGCTCATCTCCAGTGAAACTGAATTAGAACTTCTGTTGTAACTCTTAGGACCACAATTATACTATGAGTCATGATTTAGTTTCAGCCAAAAAGCATTACCTGGCATAATACATTAGGGTCATTAGTAGTAATTTAATTGATTTTGTAGTTTTGTTTTATGTTTTATATTTAATTGTAATTTTGCTTTCATAATAAAGTTACAAGGATGGTGATTTATTGAGTTTTGTGAGATGGGTGTGTTAGGTTTATATTATAACGAAAATAATTTTAAGTCACATTTGGGGTTCTGTAGAATTATATCTATTTCAAAGGAAGATATTAAAGTCTGTCACATGCACTTATAAAAATTTAAAGGTTGTGACTGTTTTCTCTTTTTCAACTAATCCTTGAACCTTAAAAAGTTTATAAGATTCAGTAGAAAACTTTGCTAATTTGGATTAGAGAAGGCCAGCTGGAACTAGAGAAAAACCTGAAAAACCTAAGAAAAGGAATACTGTAATTTTAATCATTTAATCATGACTAACAAAGTATTGCTAGATAGTGGATTTAATGCTGCTTAATAGATAATAGTTATCAGTATGGCGGTTTCTTACCTCTGATTTCACATCAGAATCTCACAGGTAGAATCTGAAAAACTCATAGTTACCTGTGGTCCCCTATTAAATCAGGGCTTATGTATTTTTAAGTTCCATTGATGATTCTTATGCTTAACTATGGTTAAGAGATTAACATTTAAAGATAACATGTAAATGAGTGCTTTTAAATCGCTTAAAAGTTTGTTGAAAGAAGGTTTAACATATCCCTTGTACTTTTATTATAGTACTGATTTATGAGCTCTATGTCTGTTTCTCGCCTGTAAAAAGAAAATATACTTCTATAAAGCTATTTATTTTTTCAATGATAATACTTTTTTTTTTATCATTGTGAGAAATTAAACCAGAAAACACATATAAAGTTCTTTAAGCAGCGCGTGGCACATAGTAAATGGTCAATTATTTTTTGGATTATTTCCAATGGGAAGAAATAGAATTAAATTATCTTGAGCTGTCCTCTTTTCTCCAAATTCCCTGCCATTGTGCAGTTTTTATTTACATTTTCTTTTTGTACTCTTAAATTTACAACAATATATGTAGTAACAAGTGAAAACTAAATTGCAGTATCAGTAAAAATTTGACATTTCAATATTTTGTAAGTGAGCAATTATATTTTTATTATTTTTGCCAATTATTACATCAGTAAATATTCAGCATCTATTATAATGAAAGCTTGATAATTGTAATTATTTAAATTTCATCATGGTCTATTGGAAAAGATATTTTGGGAGTGTTTTCTATGACTCAATTCCTTCACAGATTTATGTGTGTTTCTGTGTGCAGAGTAATAGAGTGGACACTCAGTAAACATTGGACTGAATTGTGAGTGCTGTTTAGAAAAGAAACTCAAACCTAATTTACAGCCCCTGATCCCAGAGCCACCAGTAGTTATAAGCAAGAAGATTGTGAGTGTGTCAGGTCATATTGGTATAATGTGTTACATTTATAAAACACTTTCAATACTGTCAGACACTGTTCTTATTTGATTATTGGATCTCATTAAGATGATAATATATAGGTGAAACCTTTATTAATATTGTATGCACTGAGTCAACTTTAGTGGAGGGTGGTTTTCTGAAAAGGAATGTGCTTTTGAAAATCTGTTCCCTAACTCCCTCTTCCTAAATAAGCCCCAAACAAAATAAAACTCTTACCTCATCCAGTCTTCCCTGTCTCTTTAAAGAGAACCTCCATCACATAAGTATTCAAGCCAGAAGCCTGGCAGTTATTTTCTTCCTCTTTTTATCTTATTTTATTTTTCAACCTTTTAACAAAAGTAGACAAAATGGCAAAATGAATTCCTCTGTATCCATCACCCTGCTTTTAACATTACCAACTCACAGAATGTCTTGTTTCATCTGGACCGGGATTTCTCAGTCTCAATACTGTTGTCATTTGGGCTCATGACTCTGTGTTGTGAGTGGTACTGTCCTGTGAGGGGAGAGAATTAGCCGCATCCTATCCCGGGCCTCTAACCACTGGGTACCAGTAGGAGCTTTCCCAGTTGTGACAACCAAAAATGTCTCAAAACCTTGCCAAATGTCCCCTGGGAGGCAAAATTGCTCCCCTTTGAGAATCACTGACTACCCCTATCCGCTTCTCCCTTCCCTCTTCCTTATCTTTTATATCCAGTTCATTACTGCTTCTACCTGAAAATATATAAGTCTGTTCATTTCTCTCCAGATCCACTGCATCTGCCCTTATCTGCTACTATTCCTGATGCCATCCAATCCGACATTAGTAATGTTTTTAAAATGTAAATTGGATCATATCACTCCTCTGCTTAAAAACCTCTCATGGCATTCCATTACACTTAAGATAAACTACCAAAACTTTCATTTGAACGATAAGGCTCTATATGAACTGTCTTCTGCTTATTTCTGTAGACTTACCTTATTTCTCTTGCCTCATCATGTGTATCCCCCTTATTGCATAATTTAAAGACAAAAGTAGATAAATACCAACTTTATTATCTGACATGCCAAGTTACTGAAGATGCTTTCATAATATATGCTTAAATTTTGTCTTTTTCCAGGTGTTATGAGTGTGATGAAAAATTATCAACACATTGTAATAAGAAGGTTTTGGCTCAGATAGTTGATTTTCTCCAGAAACATGTTTCTAAAACACAAACAAGTAAGTTAAGCAGTTGCTAAAGAAATCTTATTGAAGTATAATATTTTATCATTCTTATAAAGAGATAATAAATTCATGAAGAGTACTTTGGATTTTACTGTGACCTCTTGGTATGAGTGCCATGAATTCTTAGGTAGCAGTCTTATGATGTTATCTTGTGTTGTATTTACATAACAATAATGAGAAGCTGGAGAGAGTAGTGATTAGATTGTGAGTCAAACAGTGCTGAATTTGAATTTAGGTTCCTACTAAGTTACTTCCTGTCCATGTGGCTTTTTACTCGTAGTTTCCTTAAGTAAAAAGTTAGTACAGTAGTTCCATCTTATGGGATTGTTGTGAGGCTTAGGGACGTTTTCTAAAGATTTAGAAATGGTGTGTGTAAAAATCCTTGCATAGTGCCTGACATGTATTTGTGAAATGACACCTGTTACTTGTTACATAATTGTAGTGCAGTTCTGACACTAACAGCCTGGAGTTGGCTAACCTTGCCGATTGAGGCCTCAGTCCCCCAAAAGATTGCCCTTACTTCAGATGACATTCTCAAGCTAGGGGTTCTCAGGCCACCCACATTTCTGACTGATTGTCTACTGACTGTGAAAGTTCCCACTGCCCTCTTAGGTTCAATAATTTGCCAGAATGACTCAGATAATAATAACATTTTCATCAGAGAACACAGAAAGTGTTATACTTACATTACAGTTTTGTTATAGCAAAAAAAAAAAAAAAGATACAAATCAGGACCAGTTGAAAGAAGAGACATGTAAGGTGAGGTCTGGGAAGGTCCCAAACATGAAGCTTCTGTATCTTCCTGTGGAATCAGGACACATTGCCTTCCTGGCACACTGATGTGTCATAATAAAAACACACACTATTGATAACCAGGGGAGCTCACTGGAGCTTTGGTTACAATTTCACTGCATAGGTACGGCTGATTGAATCATTGGCTGCACGATTTAATTCAGTCTCCAATACCCTAACCCTCAAATCGCACGCAATTTGGTCTTTCTGGCATCACTGGCTCCCGTCCTGAATCATCTCATTAGCAAAAATTGTGTAGGGTCCCACAATGAATAAAAAAGATAACTTTTTAAGCATAAGCTATCAAGTGTGTGGTCTGAGGAGCTCACCATGAATAAAGCAGACACTCCTGTCACTCTGGAAATCCAAGGATTTAGAGGGTGCTTCTCAGGAACCTGGGACAAAGGGCAGCCAAATCCATTATTATGCAATAGTAATGTGTTATATATTACATACTTTGTTATCTAACATATAAGCAATATATAATATATGTTAATATAAATTAAGAATATATCAGGAAGCAGTTTCTTCATTCAAAAATGTTAAGTGCCTACCACATGCCAAGTTTTATGCTTTATGCTGTATGTCGTAGTAAAACAAAAACAGTTACATCTTTCCCTCTTGGGGTTGAGAGCATAATGGAAGAGACACAGAAATGTAAGCAAATATCTGGTAGGTGCCTCGAAGGAAAGGAGCAGGTCGCGTGAGAGGTAATAACCTGGAAGTCGTAGTGATCAAGAAGGGCCAGTGCTGCGGAGTGTGGTTTGCTGGGAGCGAGCAGAGTGTGATGGAGTTAAGAGGTAGGAGGGCAGGTCATGCATGATCCTGTAAGGAATTCCATGGTGAAGAATTTTTATTTTATTGGAAACTTAATAGTGGAAGCTATTAAAGTGCTTTAAGCCGAGGAGTAGTCATTTCATCTTTTAAAAAATAAAGGTAACTCTGCCAAATGGGGAATAGACTGTCGTGGGTTAAGCGTGTAGGTGGGGAGAGGCTTACGCAGGCTAGAGGGGGTTATTGTGGTGGGGCAGGTGAGAGGTGAGTAGACGTCCTGGTGGAGAGTGGGTGGGTTAAATGTGAGGAGTGAGGGACAGTAGGAGGAATCAAGTGCAGACCTCAGGATTCTGATTAACTCAGTGAATGGGAATAAACAGCCATAATTTTGAAATGCCTTTGGAGCAGGAATTAAACTGCCTAGTAGGTGGCATCAGAGACTGAAAAATTATATAAAAATACAGTTTTCAGCTCTGTTTCCTATAGCCCAGTATATGCTTGTTTTGGTAGCTGTTGCTCTGAGACTCTACCAGTGAAGAAAGTGGAGGAGGAACTAGAGGAGGTAAACTCAGGTTCTTGGACAGCAGCAGAAGTGATTAATTTCATCACTCATTCGTTGGAAACTATGGTGGTTGTAGACATTAATACTTACAGAACAGATGTTGGTCTTAATGTTGCCTCCTGAAAACTGCGTGTTAATTTGGTTGGCCATGAGAAGAAATGTAGAGATATGATGCCAAGGGAGCAAAAAAATAATTGTAGAAATTATTTTCTGTGGATTTTTTACCTTAGAGTTTCCATGAGGTTAAGAACAAAGCCTGTATGATTCCATTTGATTTTACAGATTTCTTGAATACGTATTATCACAAAGGATGTAAGGTAGGGAGCATGGATGGTATGGGAGAAAGAACACAGGCCCTGACTCACGGGTGTCTGGCATTCAAATTTGACTCTTTCCATCACTAGCTCTGTGACCTGGGGCAGGTTACACCTGTCTGAGCCTCATTTTCCTCAGCACTCTCTCTCCTGCTTTCCCATAGGAATAGAGATTGTTAAGACACTTCCTTTCCTAAAGAAGTTTAAAGAGGCTTGAGATTAAAAAAATAATGCTATAAGCCGAATAGAATTTGTATTTTGAGGGATGTTCCAAGAGTCCTTTAAAGAAGGATGCAGTGTTCAATTGAAAGGAACTCAGAAGGAAGCCAGGATGAGCTGGCTTCCAAGCTGACCCTTAAAGGATGAACTTCAGATAGATAGGAGAAAAGAAAACATTTCAGGTGGTGGGAAGGAAGCGCCAAGGTAAGCTTTAATTGTCTTTACAGAACCATGGGTAGCACCTGGAATAGTGGGAAATAGTTTCTTGAAGGAGGTGGAGAGTGTAGAGCCTTTAAAGTTAGGGAGAGCCGCATTTCTGAATTCAAGGTTTCCAGAAGTTCTGGGGCAAAATGTTATTATCTTCTTCGTGTTCCAAGTTACAGCAGCTCTCAGGCAAGTTGGATTTAAAATAAGATCCCTTGGTATCCTAGAAGTAAGTTTTTTGGGATAGTAATCTGCTGTATTCTTTCTTGCATGAGGGTTTAGTATATTTTCATAAAATACTCCATGAATCAAATACGAAAGTTGCTGTTGGGGTCTGTAAGAGTGCTGGATATGATTATGTAGCTATTTTAAATGATACACGTGAAGATTGTAGAAATGTAAAAATGTCTGTATGTGGTAATTCAAAAAGGATATGAAACTAAATACTGTGTTTAGGTGAGAGGATAAGAGTGACTTAAAAGGAATCTTTTTATCTTTTGCACTAAGTAACTATTACTGTCAAGAGGAAAGCCTGTACCTGTACCTGAAACATTTTTTTAAGTTGTACAGTGCCTGGGCTGGTTTCATATGTGATACATCTAATTTAAGCTTCTCTGCTCAGTGAATCTCAACTTTTGTTCTCAGTTGCTCCTTAGACTCTTAAAAAATTTTTGAGGACTGAAAGAGCTTCGGTTAGGTAGGATATGCCTTTCAACATCATATTAGAAATTAAAACAAAAAATTAAAGTATTTATTAATTTATAGAAAAATAGTAATAATCCCATGATGTGTTAACACAAATAACATATTTTTAAGAAAGATAACTATTTCCCAGACAACACAAACTTAATGGGTGGCATCGATTTAATTTTTACAGGTCTCTTTAATGTCTGGCTTAATAGAAGTAGCTGGGTTCTCATATCTCCTTGTGCATTCAGTCTGTTCTGATATTACATGGCCTGTAGTCTCTGGAAAACTGCATTGTATAATTGAGAATGAATGAAAGTAAAAAATTAAATAACATCTTAGGCTTATTGTGGAAATACTTTTGACTCTAAGGACACCTAAAAGGGAGTTGTCTTCAGATCTACTTTGAGAACTGCTGAACTAGCCCATTTCCGTCTTGAGAGTTTCTGGCTTCAGTCTTACTTTCCCTAAGGCTCAGCTCAAATCCTACTTCAGTGACACTTTTCCAATCCTTTGTTTTGTCTCTTCCTCTATAAGCATACTTTAGAATCTTAACTCTCAGTTTTGTGGGGTCAGCTTTCGTGTATATATGTCTTCCTTATAAAACTCTGTGCCTTGGGGGATTGTACCCTGGCTGCTGCTCTTTTTGATTCTCATATGACTGGGCAGCAAATACTTGCTGAGTTGAACTGAACTAGCATGTAACCAGTTTTTACTGAGGAAGTAGATAAACATTGCATTTTCACCAAAACACCCTTGAATATTATCAAATTACTTTATTTATCATTAACTCTTTTAATATATTAGAGTTTCTACCTTACCGCCAGATGCTGTGCTAGATATTGGAGATACAGTAGTAAGTAAGACAGATCTGTTTCTCAGTTCCTGCCATTATTGGTCTTTTGGTTAGTGAGGGATATTGACAGATCACAAGTAGAGTTGCTGATAAATAGTGCTGTGATGGAGCAAGTACAGTGGACTGTGAGAACACGCTGGAGCAGTATCTAACCTGGACTAGAAGTGCTAGGAATTGTTTATTTAGAGGAAGAGATTTTTTTTCCCTTTCTTTTGTGTTTTTAGAGGAAGAGATTTCTAAGCTGAGAGCAAAAGGATATCAGCTAAACAGAGAGGGAAAGGGGTGTTTGCTCCAGGCAGAGGAGATAGCTCATTGGTAAGGGAGCTTGATCTGTTCAGAGGATTTTATAGAGCTGCAGAGTTGAGCTTTGTGATGCTGGGGATGGGGAGAGGTGAGAACCTAGAAGTAAGTAGAAACAGATATCTAAAGGCCTTATAAGTAGAGTTTATCCTATAGGCAGTGAAGAACCACTTATAGGTTCTAAGCAGAGAAGTGGATGATCAGTTTTGTGTTTTAGAAAGATCACTTGACTGTACTGTAGAGACAGATAGGAATGCCTCTGTGTGTATACCTGTCCATTCAGATG